CTAATTTCATTTTTTTGTGTTTTTTCTATGTTATCGGTATTTTTCTGAACCAAAAAGTTTTAGCCTATGAACAAAAATCTTGCCCATTGTATTTTTTGACGCAAAAGAAGTTTGCCCATTAGTCTAAAAATCCTGGCTACGCCACTGATTCATACCAACTATTATGTGCTGCTGTGAAATCACAATTCATAATATGACCGGAAACTGATGTAAAAATCATTTGAACAGGTTGATTAAAAAGTTGATAATTAAATTCATAAATTTTATTATATCTCGAAAAGCCTTCACGCTAAAAAAAACAAAGAAAAGTATTTGAAAAATAATCGAAATTTTGTTTATCCTACCATAGATGCCCCGTTTTTTGAAAGAAGACGAGCTAATGATTTAGCAGCATCATTCTTTTCAGCAACATTAAGCACTCGATGCATGACTACTTTTAATACAATTGAAGTTAATTTCATTCAATCATGATCTGAAACAAAAAAATTAAAATTCTATTATATGCATTGATGGCCCATTGGTTTCACAGGAATAAATTTGTCTTATTCCATATGAACCTGCATGAACAACATTCTCTTTATTTTGACTACATAATTCGCGTAAATTTAAAATAAATTTATTATAAAATTCTAATCCAATATCTTTATTTATATTATGATGATATTGAAATCGATGACCATTAAGACGACCGCCTATTGTTGCTTGTGGAATAATTAAAAGATCACCAGGTAAATCAACAATTGTCTTCAAACCATTTTCACTTTCACACAATCGTACCGTTGCAATTTCTTTTGCTAAATTTTCAAAAAAAAAATTCAAAAAAAGTCTTATTTTCATTGATCCTACCTATTTTATCAACATCATCCAATTGAGCATCTTTAAGAAATGCAACAAAAACGACCATACCACGATTAATCTCCAATAAAAAAAAAAACTTTTCTTTTCAATTGTTTTCTACAAAAACAATCAATTTACCGTAACTACTGATTCATCTTGAAGACGTAACGTAGCTTTGGTACACTGTTGTAATAAACAACGAACACGAATAGTTGACATTAATCAAGAAAAACAAAAAAAAAGGTAAATATAAATATATAAATATCTATTTATTGTTCTG